ATTTATTCAACTCTTTACTTTGTTCCCGAAAAAAGACATTAGTGGTGTCCCGGCGTTTGTGAGCGGGAAAATAACTTCACTGGTCACGTGCTGTCTTGCTGCTCCAGAGTTCGGTTGGTCTGTTTTCAGTGTTGCTGAAAATGTGGAAAATTGCCCCAATGGCTTCAGTGATGTTATATTGTTAGTACACACACACACACACACAAACACACACACACACACATATATATATATATATATATATATATATATAAATTTAAGATCTTTTGGGTGGAAATAATAGATGTTCTGGTAATTGCATGGGGAAATTGGAAGCTATTGTGGAACCTCGGTAGTTGAGAAAATTAAACAATGACCTCTTAGATATTTACTCAAGGGACTGGGCTTGGATTGTGATGGCTTTGCAGGTACTTTGAAGGCAGAGATTTTGTCATATGCATTTTCCTCTTTTTTTACTGACGATGCGATGCCGCGTTGATGCTCTTCACCGATTGGTAACAAACCGGAGCTCCCTTCTTTAGACTGAAAGACGAATGAAAATGAAATTCTAATAAGCCTTTTCAAGTAGATATATTTAAAAGTATACATTGACACTCAGATAGATAACTCAAACTCTCTAAGCGATATCGATTTGTCTTACCTCTTACCCTATTAACACACGAGCTCCGAATTTTAATGTCCAAAGTTAACACCTAATCTTTTAGAGAAATTATCGATTGGCTTTGTTATCTCACTTCAAAGGAATTATCCTTGCCAATTTTCATCTAGTTGAATGTTCAATAATCACTCAGACGCTATCCTTCTTCCTGCCTCTCTCTTCACGTCAAATCTTCTATATTTGTCATGCTTTTGATAGTGCAATTAATGAATAATATTTAACAATAAAATAATGTAATTAATAATATAAATGGGCATATTTTTCCAGGGTTTAAACTAAATTTTGTCCAAACTTACTGAGAGTTTGGTTGGAGTTTCGGATATTTTACTTCCTTCAAACGAAATTTTCTTTCCACCAGCTTTCCCAGTCACCTTTGTAGACTCTTCTACGGGAAAGAGGGTTGGTTTATTTCCCTCCGAAGCACTTCTTAAACGCAGTTGATCAACTCCCTCAATCATATTGTCACTGGACGAATCTAATGGAAAATTTGAGAAGATGGAATATTAGCTACTTGGCCAGGCTATCAACCATAGTTGATAATAAAGCGATTTGGCGTAATAGGTGCACTCTTGTTACGCTTTTATAGCAAATTAGGGAAACTCGAACAAAAACGAGTATTTAGCTAACCTTCCCATTCTTCTTCCTCCAGAACATGTTCCGTTGCAAGATGTCGTCTTGGAATGAAAATTTGATGACGTTTGGCATCTAACATTCCGGTGGATACCCGACGTCCCCCCTTTACTCCAGGAAGTGGTAAGGTATCGTTGTGTTGTTGACTCGCTCGTCTACCGCAACCAGGTCTATGAAATACACACGATTTGCTAGTAAAAGTAGTCATAAACATTTCAGGTGTTCGTATTTCAGTTCGACGAAATCAACAAAACTCCTTCCCCCCCTACAAACACGCAGCGTGGACAAGATAAAAGAGATGTGTTAAGGCGTGCCGAGTTGTGATCGAAATGCGTAGTGAACACTTTCAATACTTGCTATGAACTATTGAACATTCAATGTGCCGATAATTTCAAGATTCTTTACTACTTACTGCTTTTCGCATTCACACGCGACCTCTTTTATCTCAGCCACTCGTTATTCAACCGGATTATCCTTTTTAATTTCCGAAATACGTTTACAAAAAGCAGGACACTTTAGATTATATAACTTTAATATGCAACAACAGAATTAGGCATACTGTAACCACAAAGATTAAAACTGTCCTAGACCAGACAATATCTTATACGATCAAAAAAATTTTCAGACTAACTGACAACTGAATAAAGAGGCAGTAAAGTCACCCATTATTCCATTCCTGTAACCCTATTTGGAAGTCCGTTTACGCATAAACACCATATTAATGCACACTCTTGGAATATACAATGAACCCTCTTGGTAGCAGGCAATAGGAAACATCTTCATGAAATGGAATCCATTGTTAAGGTTACCCATCCATTAATATGGAATTGCGAAATTAGTCGTATGAATCTCTTAATTCACATGTAAGCCAAATACGTGAACCTAAGTAAAGAGGAGATAGAATTTAACCTCGAATGTTTGGAGTTACCACGAGCAGAATTTGTTGTGTACTTTGAGTAGAATTTTTTCTGGGTCACGCGAACTGTTCACCCCTGTTCTTCCATGCTGAACTGTGAGAATTACTAAGCATTGGTTAATCAGTCAGGACATGTCCAAGTCGAATGGTTTAAAGTGCCCAAACTGGACTGCTCATTTGTGTCTCTAGGGCAAATAATGTGTTCAGTCACACAAAGTGTTCCTATTAAAACCGGAAAGATAGAAATGTAGGTGTATGAGAAAGTCATTGTGACGCAAAGGGAACTTCTTCTTGTTAGAATTTAACGTTTTGTGAAAAGGCTGTGCGAAATAGAAAATGTTAAACGAGTATGCTGAAACAAGTACCGTTAAATAATGCCTCTGATTTTAAATATTTTACGACCGAATTAAGATCTAAAAAAACAAGATATTCTCAATCTCCTTTCTGTGGAGTCATTAATTTTCTTTCATAAATACAGCACAGTTAGTTTCATTTACGTGACTAGTGTGAAGCATTGCAAGCCAACAAGACCCATCTCACTTATGGGTCGGAAGGAGTTCAAGGTGGCAGTTGAGTCAGCAAAGCAAGATCGCACCAGCAAGCACACAGCGCAACGCCTGCGCACCACAAATTAATGGGAAGCTTAACCAAATTGCTTTCAATTACTCCCCCATTTCGCTTTAGACCGAGTATTCTCATACTCATGGACATTTCTCGGTTCATCTTTCTACCTCATTCAATCTTGTCAGTAATATATACCATTATAGATGAGGTGTGCGATAGACTTACCTCCACGTGATGCACCATGGGCAACGAATACTCATACGGCAAAAATGTCTATTAAGTGGTAGCTGACTTCTGACTTCAAACTACCATGACCCGACTGTGTGTCATATTCGGCCCCCTCCACAGTACTCATCTTACCTTTTCTCTGCCTTTGTGTCTACTTCACAGTACTCACCTCACCTTTCATCTACCTTTGTGTCTTACACAGTACTCATCTTACCTTTTTCTCTACCTTTGTGTCTGTACACAGTACTCATCTTACCTTTTCTCTGCCTTTGTGTCTGTCCATCTCTTTTACATCTGTGAATCATTATTCTTTCACCCCTCTCGCATTTAGCCACTTTGAAGTTCCTTTTCCTCTCTGTAAAGCCCCGAAGTCAGCTAAATGGCTAATGAAAACTATCAAGACGCCTGCCATTTGAAATAAGCATATACCATAATAGATCGACAATAAAAGCAGGCTTTATACACAATAGGAGAACTCACTAGGAAATGAGTTATCTGAAATACTAGATTGGGAAATAGACATAGGAAATTAGACATGAGTTGACACACAAAGCTTATTAATTATTTATTCCATTCATTTTCTCAAGGTAAACATACATCATTCCTTTCATTTAGCTTAAATGTAAAAGGACAAGATGCAATTTACTGTTTTCGTTTGCTTACTTTGCTTGCAGCATCGAATCGAATAGGTCCGCATTTATCTTAGTTGAAGCCAGTTGAATGAGAGGATCTCGGAGAACACATCGGAGAACGGCAATAATTGTCGGACCAGTTGTGAAAATACGATATGTGAGTAGGAACGTATTAAGGTAATCAATAGATTGAAACCTAGGATCCAATAATCGATCGAGAAGCCGACCCAAAGTTCCATGTCGGACCGAGAGAATAAAAATTAAACGTGCCGTTTGAGTTTATAGTTCAAAGTCGATATAAATTATAAATTATTGAGATAAAGATACAACGAAACAATATAGGCGTTTACATAATCATTTCAGCAAATACATTGGTAGGCTACTTAAAGATTTTTAAAAAACTTATATTCCGATTGATAATAATAATTAAATTAAATTATTTTTAATAACTCGATGAGTGGGTTGTGCAAATACGAACATATTTGTTTGGAACCGACTCTTCCTTCGTTGAATCAATAGATTGAGGGGGCGACATGACCAGCTAATCTTATTGTCATTAAAATTTGTCCATATTTAACTTAAAAGTGTATTATTTTAATTAAATTTGGAGACAAAATATCAAATTAATATTAAAAAACTTTTAAATTGGAGGAACGATAAAGCATTCAATTACAGAAAGATGAATAATGGGATCAGGGCGTCATCAAAGGGGAGGGGAGACTATCGAGATTCTGAATCCAGTGGACTTTTCAATTTTGGTTGAATAGCATCACGTTTTACTGCATTATGCTAGAATTTAACCTCTAGGTGTTTGATTGAGTCTCTGTCCACCCTATTTAGAGCACAGTGATCGAATGAATAGGGAAGTTTCTACCATCTCTGGACATTAGCAAAGGGGCGTTGTTGTTCGATGAAATACTTTCAATATGGTGGACGTCATTTTTAAGTCGATCATAACTTAAGTTTATAAAAGTTCAAAATGATCAATAAGTCACGTGCAAGAATAAAATCAATATTATAATATTAGCATAAAGGTACCGCCTATTAATCTCAACTTTCCAAACCAAAAGAAGCAATTTTACGCATTAATTCTAAAAGTACTTGGGGCATTTTGCATGAATTCCTTGTGGACCGATATTTGATATCCGGACAGTCTTTGAATAGTTCGGGGTCTAGTCTGGAGGAAGACACATTTTAGATTTTATTGTTGACTTAAAATTTAAAAGAAGACAATAATGCATTTTACCGCACTGAATATGGCATCGAGATTGAGGAAACCTCCGAATGGGCGAGGCTCATGATGTCGCTGAAATGGAGTTGTTCGATGCACTAAAATGGTGGTGGGAAAAAAAACACGTTTCAGTGAAAATTGTGACAAGATTCATCTAAACAGTTCAGTTTTGCTGAACTTCGAAAAATTGCTTTTCAGTAAATCAATTCCTTCAAAAAAAATGGAAAATTGGAACAAGTTTGTCCAGCCTACTTTCTAAAGCGCCTACATACAATTTAGGCTAATCCACACTATTTAAAAAACACGAATTAACTAAAATGACGAAAAAATAGTTGTGTACACAATGCTTTGACCGCGAGGGATGAAAGAGAAAACAGAATTTCGAAGTTAACTCCATCAAAGAAAGAATTTTCTGGCAAGAGTAAGCATTAAAGATGTTTGCACAAGTAAACAATCATTGTGTTTGGTGATACGATTGCAACTTTGCATGTAAGGGTTAAGTGTTGCGATGGTGATTGAGAAAACTCGTCATTCGAATCTTTTATATACTGTAGTAAGCTCGAAAACTGATATTTGGAAAACACAAAGCCAGGTGGTTCGATATTTCAGACTAAGTAGTCCCCTTAAAAAAATGATTCCCTCATCGCCTGACTACACCAATCTCAAGGCTCTGAGACATCTCAATAAACGTCTAGATAATTCAATTGATACAAAATTAAAACAGTTTTGGCTATGGCACTAGGAAAACAAACTGACGTAAGAAACATTCATAAAGTATGACCTGATAAGAAAAATAAATCGATAATAATAAAAGCGAAAATTGAATTTAAGCAACCAGATTAGTTTCCAATGCTTTCTTACATAGAATTGAAGGATTTTTTTAGGTTATTTGCTATGGCTCTAAGTCAACTTTTACATGGAAACCTGCCTTTGTTTCATAAAGCGTTTTTCAAGAGTAGGAGGTGAGGAATGTACAACGCTGTTATGACTGAACAAAGAAACCTCATGCCAAGTAGGGAATAAGAGCGGTCATGAACGCAGAGACCTCTCAACTAGCCACTAATTAATAGCTCCTGCATTGTGTCCTAATGCCCAAGCTCCCTGTCATACGACGGTTTCCTCTACAGCTCTGCGGAAGCTCAGCTTCCCCTTGGAAGCTAGTCCAAACCGGGGAATCTTGTTAGAGAGATCACTGAACTTCAATCAAGTTTTATAAGTGTAGCAATTCTCCATTCCGGATTTCCCAAGAATTAAGGTAAAAAAATCTATATATTTTTTAAATATTTAAAAAATCCCACTTAATTATTGGTTTGTTTAATGTATTTCAATATATTCAGGTGATAACTGATACCTCATTAAACCCCATTTTCTTAAAATGCTATATCAAATTTTAAGATAACAATGAAAACTATACTTTTTATTGCATATTTATACTATTAGTTGAGCAAAATATTAGCCTCAAAATTTATTGTAAAAGAATTATTTTAAATTTGAGTAGCTATACAATTTACAAGGCTATTAGAACATGCTAGCAGTTTTAGTTAATTTATTGAACCCCTTAACACCCTTAGGACCGTACAGTTCTCTTTCAAAATTAGCTCCATTGACATCAAGCTCCTAACAGATGGCGCTATTGGCGTTTGAAACATGGTCAATACGTCTATGGCCTTCGTCTGATACCACCAAAACTAATCACGTCGATGACATCAGTCTGTGAGACACATTTTTCAAAAAAATAAAGAGTGAAATGGTGAAAGTGCTTACTTGACTAATATCGGAACACCACGCCTCCTTTTCTTGTAGGTTGGAGGCAACCAACCAAATGCTGCAGTTTTCCTCGTCATCTCCTGGCCAAGTGATCTGGAACATCAAGTTTTTGTAGTTGTCCAATTGATGTGGATGATTTGCAGCAGCGTTAACTGCAGAAGAGGGTGTTGCGATTGTGGTAACACGTGTGGGACTATCATCGTCTGAATGTTCTGTCGCGGTCTTCCGATTGAAGGAACCAGTCCGAGTGTCCCGCTTTGGTTTGCCTTTTTTAATCAATAAAGCGTAAATTCATTAATCATTTTTATTTCTCTGTAAGTTGCCCCTCGGAATATGAAAATGATAGTCCTATGGAATTTCAAAATTTCAACCACTGCGAATTTTACTTTTGAATAAACTCAAACATTTTAGTAAGTAGAACCAGTTCAGAATTGGGATGAAGGAACGGCGGTTTAATTATCCAATTGCTCTCCATTCTTCATCTACTATTGTGCTTTGATATTTCACCAAATTTTTCTTGGCCATTTAATTTTTAGCAACTCATTTAATTGTTCAGAGACTTCTCGATCCATTAGCTTTGATTTAGAGAGGGTCAACTGGAGCCTCTCTGATGGGAAGCATGATTTCTGTGCCTTGTTGACCAGAATTAACCTGTTAGTTCTTCTATCGCCCTCATGACTTCGAACTAGTCAGTGATTTGCTTAAAAAAATACACCATCGATATGCAAAGGACCCAGCAGTATGAGGCATCCGTATGTTGGTTAGCGATAATTCACCGATGTTTCTACAAGATTTGGAATTCGGCTCCTTTACTAAAACATTAAGTGAATTGTTGTCGTTTACTGAGTTCATTGGCAAAAATTTCATAATGACCGCCGATTAAATAGCTTTAAGCAACAAGTTACCTGAATTATCAGTTCCAGTGGTTCCAAGAGCCAAGGCAGCCAGCATGAGTGATCCATGTGCCAACTTGGCAGGGACAAGATTCCACGGAGGTGATGGCGGTGCAGGCTGTGATTGTTGTGATTGCCCCTGCTGAGCTTCTGTGGTTATGGTGTCCTCCTGACCTCCAAAGCTGTGAATACTCAACGTCCTTGACACTGGACTCAGACCTCCCTCTGGTGTCTCATGTTGAGGTGGGGAGCCGTGACCTTTAGACAAATCGAATTAACCAGCAATTAGGATGAAACATGGAAATTAAAGACAGCGTTTGACTTACTGCTATCATCTTGACTTATGTCGAATGGCATATCTTCAATGAGCGTACAGCCATGTAGAGGGATTTTCCCATTTTTCTAAGAAGAATACAAGATTTGATGATGGAGGGCTACGCAAATTTGCGGTAGTGCATGAATTTCTGCCTCCAACCTATTCGAGTGCACCGATAGACGGATTTGGGGGGCGGGGCAGGAGAGGGTAGTGGGACTGTCTAATGAACGTAACCCAAAAAATCAAGGACAAATCTAATTCAATCCTCATGTTCGTCATTATTACTTCCCTCCTTCCAATCAGTTATTTTTGTTTTTTTAATGGGAATAACTCCGAGAAGTTATTATCATTCAGAGGCATAAATGCTAAGCATTCACTGATTAAAAGAGTGAATGATGTCACAGAATAAATTGTGCCCATTAACTACCTATGATGAAATGATAAGTAAATAAAAAAAGGATATAACAAGTGAATTGAACTGCATCTAACTGCATTTATTTGTTCATTTCAAACTGTGCACTGACTCTGATGCATGCTTCACACCACGCCGTAGTTCCTCATCACCATTATTACTGTTTGTAAGTTAAGTAAAAATCCCTTTGTGGACTTAACACATTACCAGATTTCAGCAGTAGTGGGAATAGGAAGTTCAAATGAAAACGTTTTCTTTGTTACTTTGTCTAAGAGAGGACAGAGGTGTTTTGATGACACAAGTGAATAAGGTGAATGTACGGTGGGTTCAATTTTAATGATTTTAAAAAAAAATTGGCAAAGGAGCCACATTGAACACAAATGCTTCCGTGGGGTGAGCTTAGCTTTTCATCGTTATAGGCTATTTGGAATTTATTTATTTATTTATTTATTGATTTCCCTACCTTACGTTTGCATGGGCCCCGATATCATCAATTGGATAAGCCAGTAGTTACCACAAAAATTCCTCTATTTGTATTTCATTAATCCACGGAACTGCTTATCCTTCTCAGATGGAGTTCGAACTATTGTAGACATTGGATTTTAATAATAATATTATTATTGAACCCTTAAAACTTGCTGAATCAATCAAATTACCTCTCATGACTTTAAATCTAATTTTCTGAAAAAAACGCTTATTTAAAACTTTTTTAAGCTAACAGAGATTGCTTGCTTGGATGCCAACAGATGACTAATACCGATATATTTATTTGCCTAAACATAAAAGTCTTGTTCAAACTAGCAAACGAAGAAGACGTGTGTTGTTTCCACTCCCTAACATTGTTAATTTAAACATAGCTCTGTAAGGAGAGACAGCAATATTCTAGGATGTCAGACCCTTCACAGCATCTTCATGACGGGTCTCGAAAATAATTTTTATAAAGGAAAAAAACAAAGTACTTTTTGTTGTATTTGGAGAGATTAAGACAACTGGTGTATGCAGAAAGTGTAGTCGCTTAAGTGGGCTATGAATAGTCAGTATTTAAGAAAAATGACTATTAGTTATAAGTTAACACATTCCTCATTAGATTTGAAAAGTGAGAGGGTATCACTCTCTTAGAATTTCATTTCCTTTCTCCAGAACAGCATCAAGAAATATAATTTATTTTGTGCCATTATTGATGATTTTAAATTGTTTGTAGTAAAGCTGGCTTCTGTTTTATCTAATAGATTGAAGGAAAGATAAGACCCTAAAGAAAAGACGAAGGATAGAGTTTAGCGGCCGGCCTACATGTCTGACCCTGCCACTTTTAAATGAGATCAACTCCACTGTAGACACGGGATGCTTTATCAAGTTTCGGTTATTCCTCTCTTTATTTGCACATTTTGGTGTGATTTTCTTGCCACATCTCTAAAAAAGTACACTTTAAGACCAGATATCTATTGCAAGGACAATAATTGAAATGATTACGAATTCATCTGCTTCTACTGTTCCGCCAGACGGCCTACCTTAGCCAACTTTAGCCTTCCCGAATTTGTTCTAGTTGCTATCAGAAGATGATTTGTAAACAAAAAGGCCTGTCTTAATCGTTCTTTCTTCTCACACGACGAAGGTCCAAGTTGACCAATTCGAGGACAAGGATACGATGTTTTATTCATTGTCACTTGGACCAAAGTACCTACAAAAAGTTATTTAGTGAAAATTGAGGCAAACAACAGGGAAAAAAGAACTCACCTTGTCGGACAAAAACTTGATTTGCATCAAGAAGGATGTCACAACCATCTGAAATCATGCGTTCAATTGCCAAATTCTTGCGGATATTTTCCGTTTCACTCACCTCATCATGAATCACCTTTACACATTACTTATAATTTTATAAGTAGACTCACTTGAGAAAGTGTCTCTAGCTTGCGTTTCGCATACTCCAAATTGGTTCTATCGACATGTTCATGCGGTGTGTGAGCGAGAATTTCGTGAAGCGTAACAAGATATCGTGGTATCTAAAATCATAAATTGATAAGTGTCTATTTATGAAACTCAATCATGAGTTTATTTGCCTAAATTTAGTTGAAATTGAAAAAATTTCGTTTTACAGTGAAATAAGAGAGATCGGTACACCACATCATTATATCAGTGATCAGCATGAAAAGGTTCGTTGAGCTGAATCGCATTCAAGGTTGATTCAACAGACTTTACCCTAACGAAACAAAGACAAATAAATGATTGAGCAGGGTTCATAACTCTTTGATTCATCAAACGTAGGCGGAAGGTGTCACATTTACAAAGAAATACAACTCTGTATAAAAATTAGTGCACGATATTTTCTTGGGCGTAATGTGATGTCTTTTAGGGCCAAAGACTTTCTGAAGCAGTAAGTCACAAAATAAAAAAGGCAAGTTGCAAAAGTACAAGCCTCCTTCAAATAAGTTAGTTGGACTTCTTGGAAAACTTTCTGGGGACTTCATGCAAAAGATTCCGAAGACTACAAGAGGGGACATATTTTGCCTCACTTAGCTATTCTGTTGTGTAATACTTTGTCCATTTCTACTACATGTAGAGGTAAAATAGATGCACTAAATAATGATGGAAGTCAATCAGACTTAGGCACACTCATTGAGATTTTGGATACTGCGCTTCAAAACGAAGTCCCCAACGTGGAAACCTTGAAGTTTATATTCTATACACTAAGTTAAACTTTATGATTTCCTTTGGATTATCCAAGCATCAAGGATCCATGAACGTTGCATGAAAGGAAAAGTGGCATGTGTCTCTTCATCATCCATTTCTGAATTTTACGTCACTTGGGTCGATTGAAAGAGAGACTGATCCCTAGAGCCGCCAATAATTGGAGCATAAAAGACCGCAGACATAAAGATCAACACTCTAAATACGTGGCATTTGAAAACGGCTTCAACAGAGGTTGTATTAAAGAATACTGCCATCAAGAACAATAACACAGAGACTGAGAAAGCATAAGTTTGAAGAGATACTATCTTTGCATATTGTGCAAAAGTAAAATTGGATAGGGATACCTATGAATGTTGGAAGGACATTAATGTTCAGACTTTCTCACATCCAGAATCCTCGTGTCATGACGTCACAAAATTTGTGCGCGCAAATTTGTATGTATGTAGTCAGAAATTAAAAATTTTTAACTAGTGAAAATGAAATTAAAAATTCGTTGTTAAATCATTCATTAAATGCGTATAATTGTTAAAATGCACTAATTTGTAGTTGTGCTTTTATTGAATTCTGGGATCTACTGCTCTTGAATGTACCAACCTGATACATAGGGCAGGTAAGGAAGGATTCAATTGATCTGCCCTCGCATTGGGACTTTTCCTCACATCTCTTGAGAGTTCTGTTGAACTCCTCCTTCATTTTGTACTCGGCCAGGACCTGGAGGGAGTAATGGTGGTTTCGAACGTACTCCTGATAGACACCCAACATTGGCAGTAACATATCAAACAGATCACCTGAAAAGTGAAAAATTTACCAATTGTCTGTTTGGTTATGGTGAAACATACGAATGCGTCGCTTTCTAAGCCCCTTATCATTGAGAATGGATGATAAAAACAAAGTTTGTTAATTCAGAATTTAAAAAGACAAACTTGATATTTCTAAGCCTGCTAGGACAGTGCAGAAGGCATAACATATGTTTATTAGTTAAATACACCGAAGCACAACATTTTGTATCACTACTTTTAAACCAATTGCACAGGAATATTCCGGAAGAATAAAATTCTATTCAGTTCCGGTCTCAGATAAAAGGAGGATAAAAGAAAGTTAATTCACTTCAGAAATATTTTGATGCATAACAAAAAAGTGACGCAATCAATCGTCCAATTAAATCTACTGATCATTAAGCTCTGAACACCGTGGACATAATTCAACTCTAAAAATCAGAGGTCAAGTAATATAAATTTATTATTTATTTCAAATGGCAAATGCAAGTTGTACTTTTGCTGATAAAGTCCGAAATCGGAATAAATAAAGTACTATAAACTAAAAGGTTCTAATAAAGCTGAAGATGCTCAGAAACCTTAATTCAAAGACTGAAATTCCTCAAAATTGCCGTCTCTACTCTCTTATTGAAAACCGTGTTAAATAGTACTTCAAATACAACAATTTGTAAACGGTTTTCATTGTCACTAGAATGAGCATTAAAGCGCGACAGGAAAAGATGACTCAAACTTGAAACCATTTATTGGAAATATCTATCTTTTTGTAAAGAGTGATGGAAATGCTTTCAATGTTTCAAGATAATGTTTGTTATCACTGACTATTGTTACTATCAAAGGCACATTCTTTTAGGCTATATTACATATTGCAAACATGAAAATCACGTGACTTTCTGTCCTTTCAATCGATGATGTTCGAGAGAAGAAGCTCTCTCTTCTGTTCCATAATGGCAATGAATTGAAGATGCATATGGATGCTATTGAAGTGGAAGAATTTTGAAAAGATGTGAAGGTCCTGCAAAATGCTTTTAATTTTATCTCCTTGCTGATCTTTTCGTCGTCTAGTGCTAGCGAATAATTTAACCATCTAATTAATGGAGGACACAAAGATCGAGTGGGTAGTGTACTGCCCTGATCAATAAACGATGCTGTATGGAAATAACTCATGAAAATCAATACCAGTAGCCAATTGTATCTGACTGATACTTCAGGTTATTTATAATAAATAATTTTAGGAGATAAAAGTGAATTAAAGTGGTGCAAAAATAACCAATCAAATAAGTCGACTGGTCAGCAACCGGTGAACATTATGAGCATGAACCCACATAAGAATTATGACAACGGAAAAAATTAGACTTACGAAACTTGACTAATCGACCAAATCAGTATATGTAGAACATTAATAATTTGAGTCATGACGTAAATCTCGGTGGCGACGCTCAATTTCAGTCTCACGTTAACTGTTTTACTCGAAAAAATTGTGACGGTCACATTACTTATTCCGTCTGTAAATGCTCTCTTGCCTTTTGACTGAAGTTTACATACAAATATTACATATTTTCCAGCACATGGTTTAATTATTAATGAACTAACAGATGAAAAAATATTTATTTGAGTTATAAATTGCTGGTTAGAACGACTCAAATTTCCCATTGCATTGGAAAAAGCTCATAAAATAAAATATTTTCTTTCTATTAACTTCAACTTGTGATAGTAGACCACTCTGTTTGCCAATGATCCAATTGGGGGCACCCAATACCAAATCTTCAATTTTCGCTTTAAAGGAGATTTTAAATCCTCCCTAACTCCATTGGATTACCCAACCTACATTAAATTGAAATGCCACTTTAGTAAATAAGTTGGGATATTAAAATCAATTGTAAAGCGATTCCTAGGAAAGAAAATAGTCTCAAATACATTGCATCTATTGCGAGGAGACAATATTGTAACTTCGCTAAGAGACGCTTTACCCAGAGGAAAAGGATAATGTTGATATGGAGGGAGGACGGGGTGGGGGTGTTNTTGGGGGGGGGGGTGTATCGTCATTTTCCCTAGCGTGCATAATCACCTGGAGCAAAAAGATTCCAGTCCAGTTCCACTCAGTCCCGTTGTACAAGAAGCAAACGAATCCGTGTCGTACCCAAGAGAGACGACGGCTAATCGATTTTATTACCATAAAGTTGTCTATTTTCTCTCCGCCTCTTCCTCCCCATTTCAATCTATTTCCCTCCCCCCCCCCCCCCCCCCCNNNCCCCCCCCACCTCTGTCCCTGCTAACTGTTCTAAATAAGTCCCTGGGGATTTAGAAACGCATATTTGAAAAATGCTTTTGGATGACTCGTCAGAGTAAATACGCTGTTCGTTCCTATCATTTAATCGAAAATCTTCGCGTCTGCGTGGTGCCAAATCAGGTTTATTCAAAGAACCCTTGAATTTAATTAAGGTGGTTTGAGCCAAATAATATGCCGAAGTTCATATCGAACGCAATATAGACAGAGATCTTCGACATGAGAGAATACGCGGAACATTTTTGTTAAGACAAATACAGATCTCTCATCAAATTATTTGTGAGATGTTCGTTGTTGTTTAAAATTGCTTTTAGTTTGACAAGATATCTTGTGGAGTAGACCTTTTTAGAAATAGAATAAACTTATACCTTACTGCTTATATAAACTTAGATAATTAAAACGTTAATCATTTATTTAATAGATTTTGGATGCATGAATGCGCTCGTAATAACATGAATAACAATCAAATTTTGTCAAGTTGAACAGACTCCCGAAGGCCTATAGATTTTGTTTGTTTAACAAGGAATCAGACCGGGTATACAAAGCTGAAAAGGAGAAGAATTGGCAGAATAATCGTTTCCAGTTCAGATCTGAGAGCTGTCTTGTGGCCAAGTTGATTCTAAGAATGCGGCAACATGTGGCCATATAAAATAAAAAAGTGTGTATGACCCAAACCCACAGACCTATCAACTTTAAATGCTCTAAGGAATTGGATACTCTTTATTCACAGAGTTATTTATATTCTCAAGTCGATTCTTAAATTAATAGACTTGACATAAAGCTATAAAAATCGATGGTGAATATCAATTTTGTATCAACAAGATACAGAGGCGCTGCCCAGGAAAATGAAAAAAAAATCTCTACGGTTAAAACCCCAAAATTCCATTTTATATTGATAGATATATACCTGTAGTTATGCTATTTATCAAGGAGTGTGGGATAGATCTACCTCCACGTGATGCATCCTGGGCAACGTATAATCGTTCGACAAAAAGTCTTTTAACCGGCAGTTGACTTCTCACTTCAAACAACCATCGCCCCCCCCCTGTATGTCATATTCGACCCCTATCACAGTACTCATCTTACCCTTTCTGAGCCTTTGTGTCTATCTGTTTCTTTTACATCTGTGAATCACTCTTCTATTCCCCCTCCCCTCTGTGAAGCCCGAAGTCAACTAAAGGGCTAATGATAACTATCAAGACGCCTGACATTTGTTATAAATAAATAAATGCTATATATCAAGAGTAATAATAGTCGCGTTATGTGGAAGAATTAATAATATTTTATGTTGCTCTCTAATCAACCTCACTTTGTTTAATTTTGTTTATTTATAGAATTGGATCTAGAAAAAATGAAAGAATACATTATCAGCATGTGTGTTAGGTTGCATTTTCAAATGCTTTTGGCATATTGTGGAAACGGGATGAAAAATTTCCTCAACTTATTCGGAATAGTTCGGGACATTGGAAATGAACATAGAAATCACTCCGTGTAACTTTTGCCTTAGAGACATTAAAAAAGGGTGTTCCTTGGGTCCTACTGTATTTCGTGGCCATTAAAATTCATTATTTATACAACTCTGCATCCAAATATCAATGCTTATTTTGTTGTTTCAATGATAGTATTATGAGTGTGTTATTTAAATTTTTATGCCCGAAATTTGAATGAAATTCCGGAAATCAAGAATCTCATATACATTTTTGCATAGTAAACGAAATTCGGACTAAGCCATCTGCAGTTTGGAGTCATGGAATCAAGTACTTCGAAAAGCATGCCCAATCTAACAAAAATTCGTAAGATTTAGCTGAATCCTACAAGGAACTGTTACCGTATAATTGTTTTATCTTACCTAGTTTAAGTGTTGGCCAATTCTCCATTTTCCTCCTTAGACCTTGAACGAATATTTGATGCAGGAACATCAAAGTTTCTCTAAAATTTCGTTGAAAATAAAAAGGATTAACTTTCTGCTAAATTTAATTTTATGTCATATAGAATTAGATAGATTCTATCTTCAATGATAATGTCTGATGAACGGGATTAAATGGCAGTATGTAACTAACAGTTCTAAAAAATTTTAATTTGATAAATTACACTGAAAATTCTCCTCTCTCTGTAAGAAGCTAGAATGATGACAAAATTTCTTCCATTTATTTTAAACTTCTAAATCCTTGATGTGATTTGACGTAATTTTTAATCCCATTTTTGTCAGTTTCTGCATAAATATGCACAATTTGCATTTAGTCCCGAAAACATAATTTTACTCTAACAAATATTTCTATCTGTCACTGAAATAATGTATTTCATTAAAATGTTTCGATTTGCATTCATTGATTTATCTCGTGTCAAACCACCTTCATTTAAATACATTATTGCTAAATTAAATTAAATTAACTAATGAAAATATTTTCAGTTGTAAAATACGGAAATTCCTGTCAAAATATTATCATATGACCTGCTAGCTAATTTATTGGCACCTATTGACAAGTATCAGTTTTTAATTATTGAAGTTATCTAAAATGAAGTGGTGAAAATTGGTAGGATATGACCTTTTAATCTTATCTTATCTAAACAAGGGAAAAAAGTTTGGTCACTATCCAGTGGGAATAGGTGTTTGTCACCAATTTAAAAAAAGTATCGTTTGCCAGAAGGATTTTAAGGATAAAGTGGGATCATCGAAATTCAACTTTCATTTAATGTTAAAACAGAAAACTACTTTCCTTTTGATGGA